CATTAATTCCTAAAATATTTAATAATGAACAATTGATACAAGAAAATTCATTATTAATTTACTTACTGCAACAACTATCCCAAATTAATAAATTTGAATACTCTAGCATGAAAAATAGTTACCAACCAGATCTTAAGAGATTTCTTCAGGTAGAATATCAATAGAAAATACGGAAAAGAAAGTCATATTTTACAAATCTACTAAAAATCAAAAATATATGTAATGAATTAAAACAAATGTCTCGAAAGCTATTTTCTCGTGATTTACTGATCGGAATTTCATGAAACAAGAACCATCGTGTGCAACGAGATGCACTCTTTAAAACGATATGTGTTACATTACGAACGGATCACTGGATGCTGAGATAATCATCAAGAAAACATGCTAAAAAGTATTTAACAGAAAATTTTGATAAAGATTTTCATTACTGCACTACAGATCGCGAAAGAAATTCTTAAAAATATTTTAGTAAAATAATAATAATATAGTATCACAAATTTACTAGGAGAATTTATTAAAGGTAAAAGGTGATAATATGCAAAACTTTATTAAAATATAAAGAAAATTAATAATAAAAAAAAAATATAGAGAAGACTATTTACTATAGAAGAAAAAAAAATGAAGATTAAAAGGAAATTTATACTTAATTCTCACGAAGATGACAAAATCTCACATGAAATCCATATCTACACTTCAATCAAGAAGTTGCTGTGTAATTAGCTAATACCGTCTACGAACTATTTCTAAAATCTCTCGTAATTCTTGAGTTCGTATAGCTCATGCTTGAGAATTTGTTTGGAGTAAATCCCTTTCTTGCTGAACTTGAAGAAAATCTTGATTTAAAGTATCATAAGCTTCTTGGAGATCTTGGAACCTATTTTCAGTTTGGGTCAAAAAAGTTGAAAGTTTCATTAGTAAATTACGTGTTCGATCAAATTCAACAAAGAAAGTTCCTGTTTGTTCTAAGGAAGTTATCAACTGTTCTCGTAAAGTCGAAACTTCTTTGTGACTCTCTTGACGACCTATATATATCAAATATATATAGAAAAGGAAACATTAGTCTATGCGCAACTCGACTAAATGAAACTAGTCTAATGAATCCAGCCATTTCCAAAATGATAGTCGCAGTTCAGAAACAGTCCCAATACAATAATTGCAGTTTAGGCATTTCACCAAATCCACCAGGTAGCTCACCTTCATTATGTATTTATTCTCTTTTTTCTCTTGCACGTTCTCTTTGACGATTCGACAAACCTCTTCTTTGTATTTGACGATGAGTATGAGTCATGATATTGAAAATAATATATTGACTGAAAAGAAAAGTGAGAAAAATATCTATATTAATATAGCACTTATATTAACTCCTTCAATCTCTGGTTTTTCAGTCCTCAGAAAGTATCGGATGTATGCATCCTCTCAATACTTTAATAAACTTGAAACATTATAGTATCTTTAAGTATTATTTGTTAAATCTTCAACGGAAAAATATATTTATCAAAGAGAAACCAAAAAACTTACAAAAGAAAATTGGCAATAATTTTAGTAATAAAAATTTTCTATTGGAAAAAGAAGAAATTTAAAAGTAGATTTTTATATTTCAAAAAAAAAAAAAAATAAATAAATAAATAATAATAAAGGACTATCGATATCTACTGGATAGTGAAAATTATTAAACAAGAAATTTGTAAAACTTGATAAATCTTGTTTGCAAATCGATAAATATAATAGTCAAAATAGAATAAGATTTGATTGAACAAAAATGATGTAATAATTTTAAACCATCGCAAATACTGTATTCAAGCTTAATTTGGTATCTGCACATTCAAAATTATAAGAAGAAAATATTGCATGATTTTTAAGAATGAGAAATAATGCAAGCACTTCTTAATATAGAAAAATATTTATAATATTTATACAGCCTACCTCCAGAAAAAGTTTAATTTGCATAATCAGTTGATCTGAAAAATTATTTTGGACTTGTATCAATTTTAAATGATTTTTCTCGTGAACAATTACTTAAAAAAATTAAAACATTTTTTTTTAATGAAGTATTGTGAATAGCATTATTATATTGCAACATTTAAATCACCAGAATATTGTAGAAAGATCTAAATCATTTATTTTCTCTCAGAGTTAGAAAATTAGTAGAAGAGAATTGTTAGCTGCAAAATTAACATTATTAAAAGATTATCAAAATTGATCTACAAATTATTATTTGACTTAGTTGACAAATATGACCAATTGATCATATTTGACCGATCTACCATATTTATCATATTTATCTTATTTGTTAGATTTGTTATATTTGATAGATTTATTTTATTTATTATATTTATCATATTAGTTATATTTATTATATTAGATATATTTATCATATTATATTACTATTAGTTTATTTTATATAAATAGCATATATTTTCCCTTGAGTTGAAGGATAACTCAAGATAGGGTTTTGTGAATAAACTAAGAGTTCAATAAAGATATTTGTTATTTATTTACTATTACCTTTTGCCATGTCTTCATACAGGCGTAATTGTGATAAAGTTATTGTGATTAATTTGAAAGACTGAATTATATCGTCTAAGTTTTATTTCCAGCCCTCCGGCTAACACCAGCCTGCTGAAAAAAATTTCTACACTTAAATTTCATTAAGTAAAAAATTGATATAAATCGCTAAATTGCGCAAAATTGGTTTTAATAATCACACTTCAAATTTTTACTGAATATTATCTAGGTTTTGAGCATTAAATTAAATACAAAATAATGTTTCTAGCATTCGTGATTGATAAGTTATAAGCTTTTAAAGTTGAGCGACTCTACTTGCATTTCTTTTGGAAGCCACTATATATCATGTAATATTATAATTGGCTGAAATGTTTGCTAAGAAAATGGGGCTCTAAAGAATTGTTATACAAAAAAATATATTGTTATATAAAATCGAAAGATATTATTATTTTAAATAACTTTTTAAATAAATTTAAGAAGTAT